TATCTATGGCTGATTTCCTGTGGCAGGCAGCTTTTCCCTTATACAGGGTCATTAAGTCATCTTAGGATACTAACATTAAACAGTTGCAGGTAATGTAATAAAAGTTTAACTTATAAAACATTTTTTTCAAAGCACTTTATTATAAACCTGATGCTAATTTATAGTATTGTATCACTGAGTATTTAAATGAGTGCTTAAATCCATTTGATTAAAATGTGAAATCTTCACATTTGATATACCTGTTAACAAGCAAAGAAACACAGGTAATTTTTAATACAGGACTCGTAACTTTATTTGGCAATTTTTTTTTTAATAGTGGCCCCATTTCTTGAATTTATATTCAAGAATAAATTAACTTATGGTCTTTGTTATTTGAACCAGTTTTTTAGTTGTTGATTTATTACCAACTACCCTTTATATAAGAGGAGTTTTGTGATTGTGGTCAAGGTAAAAGAAAAAAAAAACCCTGCCTTGTTATTAAAGATTTTGGATTCTGAAAGAAAATACAAAGTGATCCTAAAATACAGACTTAAAAAAAATGAGTTTTCTGTGGGAAAGTTAGTCTTGCTTATGTTTGCTCTAGGGGAGGTGAGTTTTAGTCTAATTTACTAGATGTTTTTGAAGTGGAATGCAAGGGCCAATCTATTTTTCAAGATAGAAATTCCATAAGTATACTCATCTAGTTTAACCAGGGGCTTTTCCTTTGTAAGATAATGCTTGCAGTTTTCAGTTGAATTTTTAAAAGTTGTTTCTCTTATTTATGAACTTTGGTGGGGGTTTTTCCTTCTAAAATTTACAGATTTAAAAGATAAATGTGGTTAAACAAAAACTGAAGTTAAAATAATTTAGGTAAGGGTTGAAAATTCAAGGGCCAAGCACATAAAACACTCTAGTGAAATGACCATAGAAGACTGGGCTTGAAGGAATGTAAGGAAACATGGAGCAGCAAGCCCTTTCAGAAATCATTTATATATTTAAAAAAAAAAAAAAATTCTGGTATAGGAGGGTCACTTGTTTGTAAATTTCATTATTAATAAAGTCATGTTAACTACCAGTGAAGTTAATGTCACCTATGCTGTATTGATACAAGTGAGGTGGAGATGGGTTGGGGGTTCTGCTGCTTTGATTAAGCCACACCTGAAGTATTGTGCTAGGTCTGGGTACCACTTTGATGAAGGCCATTACTAACGAGTTTATCTAGGAAAGTATGATGAAGGTGAAGATGGGAAATGGATTTGAAGCTATGTAATCTAAGGAATGATTGAAAGGACTAGAGATTTTAGCCTGATGAAAAGATTTAGTTGATGATAATCTTGGCTGTCTTCGCTGTATGAATGTCATATGAGAGCAAGGATAGGCTTATCCTCTTAGGTCAGAATCAGGACTGATTGGGTGGAGTGGCAAGGAGGAATATTTTGAGTCATCAAAAGAAAATTTCTGATCATCTCAGCTGCACCAAATTAGAATGAGCCTTATTAGATATTCGTATTTATAAATATAGAAAAAATAGGTCCCAACTTTGTTTACTTTTTAAACCATAACTTATTTGTTAATGTATCAAAGAATTGGTCAGTGAAATATTTAAATCACTGAAGAATGGGAGCTTATACATGTGCTTTCATATTCGTTCAATAAATATTTCCTGAGCACCTGTCGTATACCCATATACCAACAGCTAGATGCTACACTAGCTGTTGACGGAGCACACATTGAGTTTGGAAGTGTCACTGAACAAGTACATTTTGGGATTTTGTGCATGTATCTGCTCTAGCAATAGGAGTATAAGTAGTTCTTATTTGAACTGCAATGTATAGAACATATGGAAGTTTAGTTGTTGGAAAGTTTAAGCCAAAAATATAAAAATGCACTGTAGAGATGACCAGACAACTGACCACAAAATAGATAATAAGGAAAATAAACTTGACAATAACTTAGAACTAAAAAGGAAGAATAGTAAAATTTGAAACTAAGACCAACCTAAGACAGCAACAGCATTGATCATACATTGATAAAGACCCTTTCCCAAAATTTAGGAAATTCAGCTGAGTTTGCACGCACACATGTACAGTAAGAGCTTATTGATCATGCTTGTTAAACACAGAAGTGCTTGTTTACACTGTTAATATATCACCTTTTATTATGAATGCTAAATATAAGTACTCTAAATTAAAAACATGGAATTGTCCATTGTTTGCCCTTTAGGAAGTACTCAATGGAGTTGAGTAAATCCCAAAGTAATATGGAAGCAGCCTCAAATTTATTTATTGTTATGTATGATATCCTGTATTTTTATTTTTCCTTTTAGTGAGATCACGTACTATAGGTGAACTTTTAGCTCCAGCAGCTCCTTTTGACAAGAAATGTGGTCGTGAAAATTGGACTGTTGCTTTTGCTCCAGATGGTTCGTACTTTGCTTGGTCCCAAGGACATCGTACAGTAAAGCTTGTTCCGTGGTCCCAGTGCCTTAAAAACTTGTAAGGCTCTTTTCTTTTTTGTATTTTGTGTCTGTTTGTAGAATTTCCTGGTTTTTTTCTATGTGGAGTAATGAAAAGATTTTGGTATTTAAGTTTTTTCTTTGTAGACTGTTGTAAATAATGTTTTATCATAAGCTGAATATATTTATTGGAAAATTTGTGGGAAGAATTGTCTGATCTTACATGTGTAGGACATTTTCTCAGATACTTTTGTGTCTTTAAGTGTTTCTGTGTATTAAAAGGCAGATTAATTGTGCCTTGGTGTAGTATATACATTGTGTTGTGCCAGGTCAGGTGACCTTTGTTATGTGACACTTTTGGATTTCACATTTTATTAGATAACAGTGGTGCATAGATCATGTGATTACTTTTTATGTACTTAACAATCTTCCGCTTGGGTTTAATTGAGTTTGAGTATTTGTTGAAAGTTTTTCTAAAATGTATCATACTAAATTTAATCTTTCCATGTTTTTTGTGTCTAGTTGACCTATGTGGTTGTATTTATTAATTAATGTCCTTATTTACATATTGTTTTAGGTCTAGAAACTACTGATTATTGTGTATTTTTTTTTTTAAAGGTAATTTTCTGTTGTCAGCTTCACAATATCTTAAGTTCTTGGTTTTGTTCTTTTGCTTGTTAATACTTTAGGTTAATTAAAGGAGTCCTAATTGATATACTGGTTTTGAGGAAAAATTTGAAACAATTAAGTTATAAATTACTTTACTGTTGAACTTATCTTTTTTTCAGCCACTGAGAATTTCTTTTGATCTGAATTTATTCAGTCATGTCCTCATAGCTAATAACTTTTCCCCTTCCCATTTATAGAATTCTATTGTTATTTAATATCACTATAATGATATCGAGGTTGTTTTAGCAAACATTTATCATTTCGTACTCATAGGAGTAGTAATAACTAGATCTCAGTCTGACCTTTCTTCCCCACCCCCAGTCTCTTGCATGGCACCAAGAATGTCACCAATTCAAGCAGTTTGAGATTGTCGAGACAAAATAGTGATGGTGCTCAGAAAAATAAGCCTCGTGAACATATTATAGACTGTGGTGATATAGTCTGGAGCCTTGCTTTTGGATCCTCAGTTCCAGAAAAACAGAGTCGCTGTGTAAATATAGAATGGCATCGATTCAGATTTGGACAAGATCAACTACTCCTTGCCACAGGGTTAAACAATGGACGTATCAAAATATGGGATGTATATACAGGTATGGAATCACAGTCCTAAAAGCAAACTTGATAGTTTTATGATGTAGGGTATTGATCATAGGCAGTAGGATATGTGGTTTGAGGATTTTAACTTCCTAAAGAGCAAGAATTGGTGCTGTGAATGTGTCTTTATAATTGGCCTGAATAGCATCTTTATGGTTTTAATTTAGGTTAATAGAGTTCACACTGCTTGATCACTTTTCAAAGAATATTACAGCATTTCTAAGGAATGTTTAGTTAATTTTCACTTTCAACTAGTAATTTAGTTTTATAACTCAAATAGCAAAGTGTTTTCTTAGATAGTTTTCAGTGACTGATATCTTACAGGTTTCAAGGTAAATCTGGTTTTCAACAATCATCTAACCTTTGGAAGGTTTTAGTGACATTTTTTCTAAAGTTTAACCAAATGGGATTAGAAGTTACATTCTTTGGGCAATTAAAAGTAAATGTGTTGCTCACTACCTAAAACAGTTTTTGATAGTGGCTGATAGTTTGTAGTAAAAAATTTGAAGAATTTTTTTAAATGAGCATTAAAACAATATGTATATCAGTACACAGCAAATTATACTAACATTAAGTGGAGATAATGAGTCATTAAGTTTCATTGGATTCTTGAAAAAATTTAAGGTAAGCACATAGATTTTTATAAAAACAAAACTCTTACAGTATTAGATGAATAGAGTATATTTTTTTCACTGAGATTATGTTTGAAAATTTAAGTTGATGTGAGTGGGATAACATGCATCTTTTGAGGAGTTTGACATTCATTAGTAATCCAGGGCCAAGGAAAAATTTGATTTTATATTTTAAAAACAAACTGTACAAAGATTGAGAAATGATAATGTAGGTTTTTTGATACTAAATTAACTTGATCCCGGAGTTTGTGTACATTTCAGGAATTCCCTTTTAACTTTTTCTAATATATATAGCTTTGCTATCCTGGAAATAATTCATTTTAAAACAATGTAAATAGTGAATCTTTAAAGGTAATAGTAAAAGCACTACTAAGTCATTTTACACTTGGTAAGCTAAGGGAGTGCCCAAGCATTTCTACTCATTATTTCTTTTTAAATGGTGAGGAATACTTTTATAAAATAGAAACGGATAAAATTATTAACATTGTCTTATTTTCCCCTTCCATTGCATTTAGGAAAACTCCTCCTTAACTTGGTAGATCATACTGAAGTGGTCAGAGATTTAACTTTTGCTCCAGATGGGAGCTTGATCCTAGTGTCAGCTTCAAGAGATAAAACTCTGAGAGTGTGGGACCTGAAAGATGATGGTATGTTTTTTTGTTTTTACTCAAGCTGTGAAAAAGAATTAGTTTTTTAATATTACTACTGAGAGGTATTGGGTTTATCTACGGCATTAGATTTTAAAAGTGGCATATGATCAAAGTTTCTTGTTCTCTGCTTAGTCCTTTAGTCCCTTTCCCAGTGTAGAGCAAACAAAAACCATAAATGTGACCCAGAATAGGAGCCAGCAGTTACTCTAAGTAAACAATCTGATATTATTCTGAAAGTAACCACACAGATCTGTATCAACTATTCGAAGACAAAATCTGGATCCGTTTTAGGGTTGTATGTGAACTGGTCTGTGTTTATTTCCTTAGGAAGGGTTATTAACCTCAGTTAACCTCTGCTTAGTGAAAAATTTAAGTAGACCTTGAAGCACAAACATATCAGATATAACTTAGTGATCTAATAAAATTTAGATTAAATATGATTTAGAAACCAGAATTTATAACATGTAAATGTTAGTAAGCACAATAAGTTAGATAGGTTAAGTAAGAAATTATCTTATAAAAAAAGAAAAGATTTGTCCTCTAATACTATAAAAGTATATCAGTGTCAAATACTCGGCTTTTTCAGAAACTTTGATGATTGAGATGTTTAACAAAGTTTTGGAGAATCTACCTTGTTTGAGAGGACCAAAGATAATTATTTCTTCTCCTTTTTAGCCTCTAATGAAAGAGTTTACAGTTTTAATTAAAACCTTACATTTAAATAAGATCTGGTAGTTGTCTAACGACCTCAGGCTGGAAGTTGTCAGGCTTGCTTAAGGGTAGGGTAGCTTAAACTGAATATAGTAGGAAGCAGACCCCTCAGATTTGGAGACTTGTTCCAGCCGATGGATAACAACCATTGCTTAATAAAATAATATGTTTATTTCTAAACCATAAGGTACCTCTTCTGCATTTTATCAATTCTTTGTTTGCTCAGCTGTTGAGTGAAGTGACCCCAACAGTTAAAATAGTTTTGATGATTAAATTTTTATCTCTTTTTGCAGATCAAATAGTGCTTTCTTTCTCAACGTATTTTCAGTTAAGAATATAGACTCAGTAAAATGTAAGCTACAAGAGAATAGGGACTTTGTCTTATTCACAGATGTATCCTCACTGCCTGGAATGTAGTAGGCAGTCAGTAAGTATCTGTAAAACTAAAGAGTTAAAGTATTCTTAGCTGTAACTGTGTGTTTCAGGTATAATGCATAGGGGCCTTGGAGTGGAATTTAGGTTATCAAAAAAAGAAGGTTGAAAAGGCATTTTGAAGGCAGTTATCAAGTCTCAACCTTTCAGTGGTCCAGTTCCTTCATTTGTAGAATAAAGGAATTAGACTAAAAGAATTTTCTATAAATGAAGAGTCAGCAGACATTTTCTTAAAGGGCCAAATGGCAAATGTTTTAGGCTTATGGGCCATGATATCTCCGCCATAGTTACTCTACTCTGCCATTGGAGCACAGCATAAACAAATGAGCATGATTCTGTTTCAATAAAACTTCATTTACAAAAATGAGCAACTAATATGTATTGCCAGCCCCTCTTATAGGTAAATCATTGCCACTATAGAAGTTTGTGATTCTATGATTTTGCCATTTTTGAATGATCCTCATTTGAAGTGAATTCTAGGATTAACACAGGTATTTCTTTTTGTTCAGGAAACATGATGAAAGTATTGAGGGGCCATCAGAACTGGGTATACAGCTGTGTATTCTCTCCTGACTCTTCCATGCTGTGTTCAGTGGGAGCCAATAAAGCAGTATGTGTCAAAGTTCTTGTACATTCATTGTGAAGTGGATTATAATAATATGTGCATAATCATTTTAAATCTAAGTAACCTATTAAGTTTGTGCTCGGTGTCATGAATATCTTAAATGTTTTATTTCGTGATGGGGGAGAATTTGCATGAGGGAAATTAAATACAGTTATTGATTGTAAAGTGAGAAATTGGATTGCTTTTAGTTAGAGATAATCATAAAATAAGGGGTATGTCAAATTTATTTTTTCTAAAATCTAGGAAAGTTTATGTGCTATAGAAGAGATCTAGTCCAAATGTTAAGACATTCCCTTGCTAATAATTGTCTTCTTTGTTGTTCTATTTTTTTTTTGTCCAGTTTGCTGTTTAAAAAGTTTTGAGTCCCAGCTGGTCCTGGACATTTAACTGAAAAAAAGTAACTTAAAAGCCTAATAAGAATAAAAATAGCACTCATGTATGTCCTAGAGTGAATTATAGAAGAAATTTGATAGGTCTGTTTTGTGCTAACAGGCATAGCATACCTGTAGACAGATTAAGTATAAAGACTCAAGAGGGTTATGTTTATTGATCTCTTTTAGTTGTCTACCAGCTCTGAGTTACTATAGTTAAGGAGGTCTTATTAGCTTCAGATATTTATGAAAATGGTTGAAGTCCAAATACATATGATAATCACAATACACTTTGAAATAATGAGGGTTTTGGGGGGGTGGGAGGCTGGTTAAAATGCATTTTATCTAGCCAGAAGTGTGTTAAAATGATAGTTGCAAATATTAGAAATATAGAAAAAAATATACAGTTCTTTAAAAATCATAAGAAGAGCAAAGCTAGATGTTGACATTGCTATTTTAGGCTGTGTGTTTTCCATATGCTTCTTGCTTTCCCTGTCACAGGTGGTGGCAGCAATATTGGTGTGATTGAGGTTATGCTGGCACCACTCGCACACAGGCGCACAATGGTGTTAGCTGGGCAGAAAGAGTGGCATCTCTGGCTACCGGGCTGGGGGCGACCTTTACCATAGGATGAAGTAACCTTGCATTCGGCTGCAAGGTGTACTGTACGTACACAGGTGCTGGTCGATGTCCACTTTCTGCTTTTCTTTCTTTCTTTTTTCTTTTTTAAAATAATTTCCCCCACAGTGAAACCCACTGACTCCTCCAAGTAAATTGATCTTCCAGTGGGACGGAATTGGGAGTCTGACATGTGAAACCAATTTAATGTAATGCGATTGGCTTTCAGATGGTTTCTCTGTACTATTTTTTGGAATTCTTTGAGATGCTAGAGATTCCTTATGTGTGATCCAATTTAAGATTTGTATTTATTTTTCTTTGGAAGTAATGTATTGTGTCTGTGCAGAAAAAAATGTAGCCAAAAGGATTGCTTTATCCCAAGAGGAGGAGAGATTGCCTTACTAGGATTGTTATAAACCTCCAACTCACATTTAATAACAGACTGCAGTAAACATTAGAATCCTATTTAGAGATATTCTGCACAGTCTAACCACTGATTTTAAAATCTAAAATTACATGTGAACTTGTACTACAGTAATTTAAATGTTTTATACTTAAAATGACTAATGATGTGGTCAGTTTGGGAAAAATGAGATTAGCAAATCTTGATTCACAGAAATGTTAATTGTATTGTTTTCATAAATTAGCATTTTCATTGTGTAATGTGGTTTAACATCCTTGTTGTTTGCCAAAGAAATTTCATTTGGCTGTGAAAATTCTCTTTGCTTGCAGTATCTGTTTCTCTTCCTAGGCTCACGTTGGTGACCCAAGCCTTTTGTAAACAAGTGATTATCTCAAAGGGAGATGCCAATGGAGTAACAATTTGTTAACCTTACATTTTCTGTCTGTATATTTTTTAAAAATTTGGTAGTTTCTGGAAAAATAAAAGAAGGGGGTTTGTAGTACTTAACTCTATTTATTTCTGTATATTTTAGTTAATTAGTTTTTGGAATAAATGGATGTCAGTATAACTTTGTGGTTAAATTGCACTGCCTTTTTAATGTTTAGGCTTATTTTTTAATTAACATTTAACAGAAACATTTGAAATAGAATTTGCATGTCTACCTTAATTAACTTTAAGACAGATTTTAATCTATGACACTGAGCATATTCTTTTAATTATTCATAATTTATCATGTTTAATTTAATATAATCTGAATTAAATTTAGCAGTTTTAGTATAAGATGTGCCATTATGTCCTGTGTGTGTCTGAATGAAGCTATAACATTTGCCTTTTTATTTCAGGTTTTCCTTTGGAATATGGATAAATATACTATGATACAGAAACTAGAGGGACATCACCATGATGTTGTAGCTTGTGACTTTTCTCCTGATGGAGCATTACTGGCTACTGCATCTTATGATACACGAGTATATATCTGGGATCCATATACTGGAGACATTCTGATGGAATTTGGGTGGGTACAGCATGATTTTAATCTGTAATTCATCTCTGGCTGTCAGAATAGCTTTTAAGAAATTACATGAATGATTAGGATCGCTGACATATGAAACCTAAAATTGCAGTCTATTGTAATTTAAAATTTCAATATTATTTAAGCCCTTCAATAATGCAAAGCTTTAGATATAAATTCTAAAAATAAATTTAGCTCTCTTGATACAGGTCTTATTGAATAGTACATGATTCTTTAGAAGTGGTAATTATATTTAGAGTTTTATGTTGGGGAAAAATAGTTAAAACTAAAATTGGACTTAATTTTAGTGTCTTAAACCACATTGTAAAAGAGAGATCAGTAATCCTTTTCAAGTCCCTTTGATTTAAGTTAGATATATCACCTTTTAAGTCTTAGTTGTGTTCATTAAAGCCACTTTAAATATTACTCAAAGACAGATGTACTTTGTTCCTGGGTAGTTTTGTTTCTTGAAGTGACTCATTTCCACAGAAAATGTGTGTTTTGATCTCAGGCACCTGTTTCCCCCACCTACTCCAATATTTGCTGGAGGGGCAAATGACCGATGGGTACGATCCGTATCTTTTAGTCATGATGGACTGCATATTGCAAGCCTTGCTGATGATAAGTAAGTATGTGAATTATAGCTTGACCTATTCATTATTGTCTTTTAAAAATTTCCTTTCATCCTTTTACTTCATGAAAATATTCTTAAGACTAAAAAAAAAAGGCTTTCTGCAGTTTGGTTTTTAATGTTTCTTTTTCTAGAAAAGACCTTGGGAGATGTTGGTGTGTCTTAAAGAATATTGACCTGAACAGTACCCATATAAACTAAAGATAATGCATGTGCCTATCCCTGTGTTCCTTGTTTGTTAGCTAGTTTAGGCAGACTGGTAGATTTTTAGCTTTTAGTTTAGCTCACAGATTTTTTTTTTTTTCAGTAATATCTTACAAAGGCTGAAGCAGAAGGACATTGTCAAAGTGAAATAGTAAAAGGAGTAATTTGTATCTACTGCAGTTGAGACTATAAAATGAAATATCACATGAGTGAGATATGTTGCTTATTGGTAAGAAGCAGAAACTAGATGTAGCCATTCCATTTTCACATGCTTTTATCATACAACATGGATGGATTTCACATTAAGAAATTTGGTCACATTAATTCGGAAAGCAACATTATCATCTTTCCAGAATGTTAGCAAACATACAAGAAGAATTCTTTTTTATTTGCCAGCAATCATTCTTTTCTGGTGTGCTGAGATGGATTCTGAATGTCAGTTTTTTGCCATTCCTGGACACACTCTACCTAGGTGAAAAGGCTTTATGAATGTCTTGGAAAGAACAAAACAGATCAGCCATGATTGGGTTTTAAGTGTAAGAAAATAAGGAGAAAGCTTTCATTTGTGAGTGTTATAGATCTGAACTGGAAAGAGAAGGCAGACATGCATTATAGTCTCTGTAAGTGTGAGTTGATCCAAATTACCAAATGATGTAGACTATAAAATACTTTATAAGCAAGTTACAGTAATTTCTTGCTGCAGTGATTTGTGTGTGTATATATTTTATGACTCAGAACACAGTGGCATTTATTTCTCAATTTTAAAAGTTGCTTTTACCTTAAATTTCCTACTAGATACTTAACAATTTATTTCCTTTTCAGAATGGTGAGGTTCTGGAGAATTGATGAGGATTATCCAGTACAAGTTGCACCTTTGAGCAATGGTCTTTGCTGTGCCTTTTCTACTGATGGCAGTGTTTTAGCTGCTGGGTAAATCGATTTATCTTTTTTTTTTTCTTTTCTTAAAAGAGACAATTTAAGGTGGTTTTTGGTCAACGCAGCCAATATTTAATGTCAGTAAATCTTTCATGAGGGCTTTTTATAATACTGTTACTTTGTCATAGAGGAGATCATTGGTTAGGTCACTTTGATTAGGTTTTAATGTGCATTTTGTTACTAATACACAGCCTTGGATGATAGTTATTTGAGCTGTAGGATGTTGAAATATATGTACTTGGGTAACTGAGCTTGTGAATTTTTTTGTTTCTGTTTAGGACACATGATGGAAGTGTGTATTTTTGGGCCACTCCAAGGCAAATTCCTAGTCTTCAACATTTATGTCGCATGTCAATCCGGAGAGTGATGTCCACCCAAGAAGTCCAGGAGCTACCGATTCCTTCTAAAGTGTTGGAGTTTCTCTCCTATCGTATTTAGAGGACTCTGCCTTCCCTAGTAGTAGGGACTGACAGTACCTTTTACATAAACCTCAAGCTTTATTGACTTTAAGTATCTGTTTTTCAAGGTTTAGAAGATTTATTTAATTTGATGCATTCTTGTAGTGCATTTTGATCAGTTGGGCTTTTAAATGTTATTTATAGATTGTAGAAGTATTTCTGAACATATGTACATTTTTTTTCTAAAATTTAACTGTGAAAACATATATACTTGTACATATTTAGATCTAAGCTGCTATGTGTTGGATGGACCCATTTGCTTTCCTAAGTTTTAGTTCCAACATGTATATATTGCTTCACTAGAGCCCCAATATGTATCTTTGCTATAAAGTGGAAGGAATTTTTTTTTATTCTGGGACACTGAGTTTTGAATGGTAAATATTGATTCAAGAAAGCTGAATTGCCTCCTATAAAATATGCGTTTGATTGGAGGGAGGGTGGCCGGACAACTGACCTGCAGATAAAACAGTTTTCGTTTAGAGAAAGGATTATGTTTTCCTTAGGAATGGCTTCTGAGAGGTAGAGTTTGAATGTGACATTATTAAATTAAAACAGAGCCAGGATATAACTAGAAAAAGGATGTCTTCCTGCCCACCCCCCTTTTCTTCGAACTATTGTTACAAGCCTTAATTTTGGAAAGCAGCTTGCTACTTTAACCCTTTAGTATAAAGTATTATAAATTTTAGGCAATTTGAAAACCCATCTACTGTATTATTGCTAAATATTTTGTTTGTATTAAGGGACAATTATTTTAAGACCATGGTTTTTTGCTTGGGCGCTTTTTTTTTTCTTTTTTCTTTTTTTTAACATATACCCTATGTTTCTGCAGGGGATAGTATTGGTGACTTGCCAAAGAAGCAATACAGTATACCTGCTTTTGCCTTCTGTTATTTATCTTACCTGCAGATAATAAGAATGTATACGTTATGTAAAATACTCGATTATATATTTTTGTTGAGTTTTTTAATTAAAGACTTGTAGAAAAACACTGTCATCTGCAGAAGTTTCTTAAATATGTTGGAAGGTTTAATACTTTTTGTCTGTCTCCATTGTAAGGTTGTTGGAGCACCACAAGCAAATTAAGCAAGAAAGGGAATGAAGAAATAGAACAAGTATAGGGCACTACTTTAGCGTTGGTACTTCATGATTTCAGCTTTTACATTGACTTGTTCTAGGAAAACTGTTGCAATAGTGCTTGCTTTAAAAACTCTAGAACAAAGGAAAATAACTAATGAGCAAAAGAAAAATAAGATCTTTTAGAAGAACTAACAGGCTTATGGTAAATCTATCTGGTTAAAGTAGCCATAAGAAAAATCTAGTGATGTGGGCCTTTGTGTAGGCAAAAAAAAGCAAAACTTTTATTAGCCATGTGTGCTCTGGGAGACTTGATGGTTTTCACTAAGAAATTATTTGGAAATTCTTAAAGTTGGTTCTGCTGATGGTACATAGGTGTAGGGTATAAATATGAAAGCCAGTGGAAAATTTGCCAAAGTTACTGAGAATCGCCTATATTTTATAAAAATAAGCAAAAAAGCACCTTATCTTTAAATCTGGTTTGATTTTTTTTTTCCAATTTGTAGTATATCTGCTTTGTAATGTTAAAATAAGATGTATTAGTTATTCACACTGTTAAATTATTTACTCTCCAACCAATTTATCTGGCCAAGTAACAGTAGCATTTTTGGATGATACATTCTCTGAGAAGGCCAGAATTGCTTGCTACCTCTTCCAGTGAAAACCATAGTTCCAAGATGAAAGGAAGATTGCGAATGTGAGTGAAGTAGAAACACACTTATATTTTCCATTTGTCTCTTGTGAAGAAGGTAATAATAGGATGGTAATACTTTAGCCTGAGTGAGCAAAAGCTAGAGAAGTAGGGAAGAAGTGATTGGATTATTAACAAAAGTCAGATTCTAGCTACATGATTTAAAAATGATAGTGCTTCACTCGGATGGGTCCAGAAATGCTTCTGGAAGTAATACCATGATGGCTGCCCAAGGAAAACCCCAAGTTCAGTTCAAACTTGAATTGATTGGTGATGGCGAGACTGGAAAAACTACATTTGTGAAACGTCATCTGGTGAATTTGAGAAGTAGTATGTATCTACCTTGAGTGTCAAGGTCCACCACTTCGTGTTTCACACCAACAGAAGACCTGTCAAGTTCAATGTATGGGACACAGCTGGTCAGGAGAAATTTGGTGGACTAAGAGATAGCTATTACATACAAGCCCAGTGTACATTACAATGTTTGGTAGAACTTCGAGAGTTACAAGAATGTGCCTATTTGGCATAGAGATCTGGTACAAACATCCCCATTGTGCTGTTTGGCAGCAAAGTGGATATTAAGGACAAGAAAGTTAAGGCAAAATCAGTTTTCCACCGAAAGAAGACTTCAGTATTAGACATTTCTGCCAAAAGTAACTACAACTTTGAAAAGCCCTTTCTTTGGCTTGCTAG